TACGTCAATATACGTCCAATATACGTCAATATACGTCCAATATACGTAAATATACGTTAATATACGTAAATATAAATAGAATTGTTTTTTGATCTTATTCAGACATTTTTCACATTTTTTGAAAAAACAAAAAATTAAAAAAATGCGCACTGTAGAGGGTTTTTAAAGCAAACACACACCGTGAGGGAGAGAGCTTGATCTTAAACCTGCGCTGTTTTTTTTCAATCGCACGCGCCTCAAGATTTTGGCTGGGACACCCGTTTGTGCAACCATGCTGCGCCACGGCCTCATTGCGATTCATGAGTGGCATACTTTGAGTGAGAACCAGGTCCATGCCATGGTGGAGTGGCAGGGAGCCTTGCCAGAAAAGCAAGCAATCCGGTACCGCCTTGGTGGATCTGTGTTGCCTGTCTTTGATTTCTAATTTTTGGGGCTGTGATCCAGAGCGGGGGTGTTTGTTTTCTGTTCAAAGTTCCCCTGACAAGTTGTTTGTTGGAGGCTTCATCTGTCCTTGAACTATTTCATTGGCTCCTTCGTGCCTTTCTACCTGCAAGAAGGACCAGGGACCTACCGAAACAAGTTCTCGGTTTTTGAGAGCAAGAATCAAGGCATTGCAGCGCTGGTCGAGCATGCGGGGAACCTGCCAAATGGGTCACGAGTGCTCACTTTGATCCAGGACAAAGAGAAAGTCATCATTCAGGCCATGAGCGGACAGCACGTGGGTGATGTGAAATACAAACGTGATGAACAGGTGATGGATTTGCTGTCGAGATGCTTGTTCCAGCATGACCAACATTGCCCTTTTGCATACCAGCTGCGGTTTGTGGTCAAGGACGTGTCCATCACAGAAGCCATGTGGAAGAGTCCAGCGTTCCAGCTTTTCTCCGGCAACCCCAATGATGCTGCGCCGAAGGCCCGTGCTCAGCCCGCGCGAAAGAAGGTTCAAAAGCCTGCGCCAAAGCGTGGCGCTGTCAAGAAGAAACCAAATAGAAAGTGAGCCGCCCTGTTGCGGCTTTGTGGTCCGCCTTCGTCCTCACCAGGCGGCTTTGTGGGCCGCGCAGGGAAGCGCAAGTTTTTTTGCTTTTGTTGAAAGCGTGAGCTGACTTGAGGCTTGCGATGTATGGGGGAAAACGAGAGAAACGTTCGCGCGTAAACAAAACAAACGCCTGCCAGTCCTGGCTGTTCTTCCAGGGCTGGGTGTGTGTGTGCCAGTCCTGGCTGTTCTTTCAGGACTGGGTGGGTGTGTGTCCAGGACTGGGTGTGTGTGCCGGTCCTGGCTGTTCTTCCAGGGCTGGGTGTGTGTGTGTGTGTGCCAGTCTGTGCATCAAAAGAATCCCTTCAGAAACACACTACCATGTGCGTGAATAGACACTTCACGTTAGATGATTCTCTGGGCAGCCATTTTTCAGATAATAGAACACCCAGTACTTGACCTCTTTGCTTGTTCGGACAATGGAAACGCCAACGCTGCCCGATAGCCAGGTGCCGATGGATGCAGTCGATGGAACCCCGCGACTGGAGACGACCGCTTTGTCGGAGCAACCTGACAACCAGCTTGGACAATTTTCTGATGGGCCTTTAGCTGACGACCTACCAGCTGACGAGCCAACAGCCGAAGAGCCACCAGCTGGTCAGGCAGGAGGCAAACGCTCAGAGTCAGAAGAGCTGCAGGAACAGGTCGTACCCACGAGCCGAGACCAGAAGGTCCAATGCCAAAAGTGCCTCTCTCATGTTTACGTCTATGATGCCCAGGCCAGGGGCAAGGTTTGGTGGTGTAAACCATGCAACGCGATCAACTCCATGCTGCGCAGAAATCTTTCTTGGCCGCCGGCCGAGTTCAGTGCATTAGATTCGGAGGCTCAGGCTGCATTTTGGCAGAGATGTCAAGCTGCGAAAGATGCAGCTGGCGAAGGGAGACTTCGGTACGACCGCCTGCGAGACGTCCTGATCACAAGACAAAAGTTTTTCATTTCAATATTTTTCGTTGTCAAACCAATATTTTTAAAGGAGCCCCTAGTAGCGTCCTTACTCCCAGTAGCGATGCCAGGAGCCCCTGAGTAGTGTTCTTGCTCATAGTAGCGATGCCAGGAGCCCCTTAAAGTGGCCTCCTAGCGCGATGTGAGGAGGTTTTTAGTATCCTTGCTCCTAGTAGCGATGCCAGGAGCACCTTAAAAGTAGGGTCCTTGCTCCTAACATCGCTAGGAGCCCCTTAGTAGCGCCCTTGCTCCTAGTAGCGATGCCAGGACCCCTTAGTAACGTCCTTGCTCTTACTAGTAGCGATGCCAGGAGCCCCTTAGTAGCGTCCTTGCTCCTACTAGTAGCGATGCA